AAACTGCAGAAAAATCATTTTAAACTCATCTTTTGGAGTATTAAATATTTTAAATTGGGAGTATTTTCAGTTCAGAACACACCTGCCATTCTGCCTACACCATTGAAGGTCTTGGAAGTCTGAACCAAAAGCTGCACGCAGTGCCTGCCAATGGGGCTGGTGGAATTGAGCCAACAAGGGGAGGGGGCTTTCTGCCAAATGTACTCCAGCCATGGGCTGGGGGCCCTGCAGGGATGCTGGGCAGCCATACCATGTATCACTAGGATTGGGCATGCACCTGAGATGCTGGGTTTTGCAATACACAAAATGATGTCAGTAAAAAGGAATATGAGTGAATAAGAAGTGAGAAAGAATTGTTGAGCACACTTCACACACTCTCCAAAGCAAAACAGAACTTTAAAGAAAGAAATTAAGTCTTTACAACTGTACTGTCAAAATGCTATGTGTAATTTGTGAAATCTGTTTCACACAGATGATGTCTAGAGCAAAGAAGTTCAAGGTATGTAATTTAAACTACTTGCTTAACAACTTTCAGGAAATATTACCCTTTTCCCAGTAAACTTGATATTATGTTCTTTTATTACACTGTATTGTTAATTTAGCAATTTGCAATTAAAATTACACACTTGCAGTTCGTTTTGGACTAGCTGCACAAGAGTTGCACTTACGTAATATTATTTATTATTGTTATTAGTTCTATATGAGTTAAAATGTAAAGGCTAAAAATACATAACTTTATGTGCCTGAATGTCCACATACTTTAAAAAGTGAAGTTGGTTTAAAAAAAAAAATGGCATGAGACTACAGTAATTCTGGATGTATAGTGTATAAATAGGACGTTTCTAGTTCATGCTACCTCACAGTCACACTGATCTTGTTCAACATGTGGTAGTGGAACCTTAAAATATTTATTTTAATGGCTAACCTTCTAATTGCTATAAGTGACCTCAATCCAGCAAAAAATACTTAGTTAAATAGTGACGTTTAGGTGATTTAAAGTTGTTGGTTATAGTCAAACTTCTACAAGCATTAACTTCCTAGGATTGTTCCCTGAGAAAATGAGCAAAAACCTAAGAAATTTTCCATCAGTTATAATGGAAGCAACATATCACTGGAATATAGCTGTATTCAACATGTATCGATACCAAAAAGTAAAAGCTTAATATTTTTGCAGGGACCCTCAAATCATTTCTCAAAATGAATTCCCATCAAGCAATTTCCATATATATTACAGAAAATCCTTGTGTATATTCCTTGTAGGAAAGCAACAGAGAAGTTCCAAAGGAGAAGGAAAAATGGGAAAGGATATATTTTAAGCAAAACACCTCTACAAAATAATTCATTAGTGTGTTTTTCTCAAAGTAATAAAGACCAAAAACTCAAGCCAACTTCATGCAAAATATGCCTTTTGGAGTTAAATAACTTCTTTTTCCCACAGTTTCTGTTTCATTTGTATTGGTTTGCCTTGCATGGATAATTTACAAAGAAAAATAAACCTTTTCATGTGTACATGCAAAGCAAGATGAGTGAATGCAAAGATTCACATGAATAAAAACAATAAGCACAAGATCCAGGTGGTAAAAGAAGTAACTCAAGAGTGAACACAAGGGCTACAGTGTCAACTGCACAGTGTACTTGCCCTACTCTTTCTTTCACTTACTGCAAATTTAGGTTATTCCCTGGATACTTTACTTTTCCATTACAGTCAGAATTCCATCTGACCAAACTTTTCCCTAGCTTCACTTCCGAGTTTTCTTGAAGATAACTAACCAAATATTTGTAAAATTGTTTACAGAAACAGAAGGTAAACTAGGACTCTGAGAAAGCCCCATGGCAAAAAATCTCAAAAAAAGTTTTGCATCTCGCCTTGCACTTTTTCTTAAATTAAATATTTGTCAGAAAAATATCCCCGCAATAAAACAGGATCTTTAAGAACATTGTGAATGCTTGCTTTCCACTTTGTGTCCTTGCAAAACACATGGGAAGAGTGTTGATTCCTGTAAGTACTCCTAACTGCTTTCCGGTAGCCTTACTCGTTTATCCATTTACTACACTTTGTTTGGGATTGTGCAGCACTGACAAATAAGTTCTCCATTTTCAAATATCAATTCTCTCTGAGAAAAATAAAGTTTAGCAAAAGATTCTGCTGAAAAGACATTCAAATGGAAAAGGTCTAATTCCAAGAACTTCCAGACTCTCTAGAAATACAGAATGTTACAAGAAAATCATGATGTAATCATAGTATGCATTACATTGAGCCATGTATAGACACAGATACTCCTTATCAATTCTAAATACTGTCATTCAGGCTAATTTACTCTCCATAGCAAAGATTATACATGAGAACTTCCACACAGAGCATGAAAAAACAACCCACACAGCTCTATTCTGAAGATTTTCAGAACATACTCTTGCATAATCCTTGTTGCTTCATCCCACAGTCTTTCTCAGAAGATTTATTCTCTGTAGGCCGAGGCACGTTTAAAGAAGATAAGTCAAATATACGTGAGTAGAGAGAAATTTATGATAATGACTAGTTTAACTAGCGACAGACTCATACTACCCTAGTGGGATGCAGTATTGGAATTAAATATGGAACACTTTGAGCTAAATCATGAATTCTTACAGGTAATATGCACATTTGAGTAAATGTCACAAATCAATTTGTCTGGTTTATGATAAGTGTCTGAATAACATCAAATTTATTCTTCCTCATTGTATTTCTTCCTCACCTTCTATCTCCCATAGCATCTCATATAACATCTGAAAACGATGCGAACTCATGAAAACGTATTTTAGTATCAATTCTTAAGTCCCTTTACAGGCATCATTCTTAATCTTTTAAAGAATTTGTGGGAATTCGTTGCATGAATGCATTTATCTTCACAGTTTTTCTATGGAGAACCTTAGCTCTGTCTCTGTTTTTTGTATGTAAAGACTGTCCCAGAGTAAGTCTCACTGGAAGTTATTAGGAGATTATGGAGCAGATCTCTGTTCCTTCAGAGGTCTAAAATGCAACAGAAGTTTAATCATTTTATTCTTTTTTGATTAGGTACAGATACAGGTGAACACATAATGCTTGATAGCTGAATGTTACTTGGGTAACAGCCATTTCAAAGACAGAAAAGAACACAAATAGCTAATCACACTATTTACACAATAGCTTAAAGATCCAAAACACAAACTCTAAAAGCAGATGAACTAACAGTTATTGGCTTCCAGCTCCTTAGTAACTGAGACAAAGGAACCTTCCAAGAACTCAGGAAAGGGAACCTAGTTGCCCTTGCCTTAGGAAAGAGGATGTGTAGTCAAAGCAGTGGCTTCAAATACTGCAGGGCTACGGTACTGACTTCTCTTTGCAGCACTGGCATTAACAGCAGTAACCAGTGTGAATTTCAGGGATTCTCCCCAGGCAAGTTCACTGCCTCCAGCACTCTACTGCACAGGGCAGCTTTACCTCTGCCTGTAAATACGACTCTATGATTACAACCAGCAGAACATTAAATTTATATACATTTATGTGCATTCATAAGCATGCAAACACAGAATGTGTATCTGAAAATACTCAGCCAAAGGGTGCACACTTCTGCAGCAAGATTTCGCTGATCAATACAATGACTTTTTATTTTCCTTGTTATCTTTATTTTTCTATGCAATTCAATTTATTTGTTGCTCTTTGCCTATGCTACATGTCTGTGGAACTGAGAAATCAAAGCTGGTAGCTGGAACAGGAAGTCCAATTCAATAAGAAAATCATGTGTAAGATCACAAGAAACTGCTGCAAAATTTATCATAACTCTGTTCACTGATAAAGAAAAGCAGAAAGGAGGCTTAAGCAAGAAACTCAAAGCAACGGCTGCTGAAGATTTGCTCCTCATTCTTTTTGCCCAATACCCACAAATGCTTTGTAAGTTCTTGCAGTCCAACTTCTCAAAGACTTTTAGAAATTGATCTGGAATTCCCCATCTGTCAGTGGCTTCGATACCCCAGACTGGAAATAGGTTAAGTAATTTACAATTTTTTAATTATTTAAGCTCTACTAGTAGCTAGCTGCCTCAAAGTCTGCAACATCCATCTGCATGGTCACTGTTTTCTCTTTTTTCTTCATTACTGCCTTTCTCCATAGCTAACAAATACCGAGCCTTTCTTTTCACTTACCTTGTCAACATTAAAGTGTGCTGAAAACACAATTGCTATGGGTGAAGTGGAATTAATGCTTCCACTTACAGTTGCATAGAAGTATGTTAAAAAAATACTGTATTTTCAAAAGAAACAACCACTTGTTTAAATTGTATTAAAATTTCTGAAGCAATATAACAAACTTCAAAGTTCTGACTGTCATTTTTCAAAAAATTATTTTATTGACAACTATATTTTCTGCAAATCTGCAAAGATTTCCTTATGTTTCAAATTTCTAAAAGAGAACTGAGGGAAATATTACAAACATAGTATTGCACTATTTAAACAAAACCATACAGTTTTAAAAGGCATATCTGATTTACGAGGTTCCAAGCAAACGTTACCAAAATCTAAGTGACTGAGGTGGTAAAATGAGAAATTTCATAATAAAATCTAAAATTTAAATTACTTTTGTTCTGCTAAATTTTTAAAATACACTCTGTAAAATCAAACTGGTACTCTGATATTTAACCACTGAAATACACTCAAAACCATATTGACATAGTCTAAAATGACTGAAATAGTTTCAGTCATTTCAATATAATAATTTCAATACAAGCTATACATGTAAATCCAAGAAGATATGATTTCATATGAGATGGTAATAATAGATCTCAAAATATCACCCTTTCTAGATTAAAAAAAATTAGAACTGCCATAGAATTGAATATGCTAAGGAGATAAGCAAAACAGGCAAATTATGCTTTCCTTGCTTAAGATGAAAGTGCAGACAAGCACTTTAATCTTTATACAAAATCTCATTTTTCTCAAGCTATTTAAAAAAAAAAATCACATGATTATTCATAAGGGAATCTACTTACAGATGCTGTCACTTGAGAGGCACTCTCAAATTCATCAATATCTTCCATAAGTGTTTCAACCCCAGGTACCTGAGCTGTTCCAATGAGGTAGGAAAGAAATAAATTGCATTAAATAACCATTACTCAATTTGAAAATAGAATACTTATAAATTAACTGCTGAGAAGGTAAATGCAGCTACCATAAAACCAACGCTTTCTAGTTACGCTTGAATGGATATTAATTTATGACTAATTTTAAGTTATAAGCGTAATACAATGAGGAACAGTGTCTCTAACATGAATAGAGTGACAAGCAAGCCTCATTTATCTGCTAGCAGTTTTATAGGTTATCTGTTATATTTACTGCTAAAACAAAATATTATTTGTCTGCACAATGGAGTAGTAGATTTTCAGGTTCCAATCGCTTTAGGCGATGTTTAAAGGCCATGCAGGCAATAATTTTTGCCCATACTGTCACATTTGTTAAACAACAAGATTGGGTGAGAAATTCAGAAGGCCTCTGACACACATTTAATGTCTTAAAAGACAATTTATGTACGTAGGCCACAGAAAGCAAATTCTAAGTGACATGCTGTGCAGTTTCACTGCCTCCTAGCCTTATAGGCACTTAGACGCTGTTTATAAGCTATGTAAAAAACAAGACGCCCTGATCTTCCCTGTGTCCTGCTGTTATTCAGACACTTAGCAGGGAGATCCTCATGTTTCCAGAGTGCCCGGATGTGTGAAACATCTCAGATTAAATGAAAGTGGGGGAAAAAGAGATGATGATGAAGTGTGGAGAAGTGCTCAGAGAACTGATCAAGAACTGGGAGATGATGCCACATTTTTGCCATTGCCATGCCTGGTTCACATCCCCCATATTTTTATCCTTATTAATTTTTTATCCTAGTCATGCAGTTCCAACTGGAATAGCACTGTATACGTTTGATAGAGCCCTATTTCTGTTGAACTTCTCAAATTTCAAACTTTTCCATCCAAATGCCTGTTTTCAACTTTCTACTTTACTGGCACTTTAATGCAAAGCAAATTGTGGAAGCTACATATCCTACTATTTTCAAACATATCAGGTTGAAACTGGAGCTGGCTTACTACAAATAAAAGAAACTCATGGCTCCTGTTTGATAGGGAATTAAGCACTGATGTGAATATTACTTAACAAAATTTATTTAGCAAACTAATTATTACGTATCATAGCACAACCAGATCTAATATAATAAGAAATACCACATGCATACTGTGGCATAGCACTGCATAAACCATCATTATCAGTCCTAATATGTTGTTCCAGGAAAAGCCACAAAAAAAAGCCAAGTCTTTGCTCACACCTCAGAAATAGGTGGTATTGCATACTGCTCACGCCACAAACAGCTTTTTCTTTTTCAGATTAATTGGGCAGTTTAAAAAGTTTAAAGATCAATGCTTTTCATTCACCTAACATTCAGAGCTCACTCCCTCATTAGGTATTTTAAGGCTTCTACAAGAATGCACTCACTGCAAAGATCTTTGCAATAATTTCATTTTTTTCTGCCTTGTACAGTGGCTCTTACTCAAAGTGTACACGGCACTTGTCAGCAAAAGAGGCTGAAACCAGCAAAACAAGATCCCACTGTACTTAGAGGTACCCAGGACTAAATGAACACATGCTTTTAGTGATACCATTTCTTCATATCCAAGTTCAAAAAACCACACATTAGTATATGACCTGTACAGCTCCCCCATCATGAAAGCAGCATGGAGACTGTCAGGCACAGATTTGTACTAGATCCATCCAATTGCAGTATCTATCTGTACAAAACAAGAAGAAGATTTATAGGAAGACTGAAGCCAGGAGGCTTGGCATCTATAGGGGAAGTTTACAGTGCACTAATCAAAATCAGGAACATAACTATTAAATTCTTCCCTGAGTTATTTCCTGTGAGATGGTCCAATGGGAAAGAGAAACAGTTTTGATGGGTATCACTTGGAACAGTGAAACAGCAGTGTTAGAGCATCTTGTGCCGTCTATCTCGAGACCTGACTCCCCTCTCATTTTTACTGCTTAGATCAAAGATAACTCTGCTCAATTCAGTAGGATTGCACCAGAGGGAAATCAGTGCAGTGGTTAATTAGAGCCAGACAGAGATTGTTGGTGGAGTCAGTATTGTGCCTGATGCTGCAGATGATCTTTTTACATAGGTATTCCATTGACTTTATGAGCTGGAATTGCTTTAGTAAGCTTATTTATAAAGGGCTGTTAGATCAGATGTGCAGCCAATTACTTCTGAACCTGGTTCATCTGAAATCCACAAGAGAGATGCTCCAGATCGAACAACTTAACAATTTTTCACTAACCCAGAAAGAAATCATTAAGGAAAGCTGTCTCAACTTTGCTGTACATTAGCACCTTGCTTGCACACTCCTGAAGGAATGGTTTACATCAGCACTTAGCAACTCATAGTTTTCTCAGTTAGGTCATTGGTATCAACAAGTAAGAGCAGAAAATAAATTCAAATAAACCTGGTAATTGAAACCTGCTAGTGTTTTTTATGATATAATACATACATTTAGGACATGACTAAAATTTGAAGTCCAACACAATGCTTTGGCTATTTAGAGTTTTCTAACAGTATATTTTATCATCTTCTTCACATATTTAGTTTTAGATACACAGAAAACAAGAACTGTGCTGCATTTATAGGAAAGATAGAATAGGCAGCTGCCTGGGTTCTACATCTGTTTCTACTCTGTGCTGTCTTGTAAAGTCCAGATGTGGGTTTCTTTTTCTTTCTTTCTTTTTTCTTTTTTTTTAATCAAAATATATTACTAGCCAACATTTTAGAAAAAAAAAAAACAAAACAACAGAACAAAACAAAACAAAAGAAGCTTGAAAGGCTGAACACTTCTGAGAAAGCCTCTTGTCAGAAATTTGGCAGTACCTTACTGTTGACCTCAGCGTTTCTGCCCTAAAGGTGATGCTGTTTATTAGCTATACAGCTAACAGGTTCATGTGTATTTGCAGACATGAGATAGGTGAGAAATAACCTAGCAGGAATCTTGTTGCCTCACCTACATAAGTTGTATTCCCTGTCTTTAGGGAAAGGGTTATTCCTCTCCCTTTTAATCATACTTAGAATATCCAGAAGCATGTAAAGTGGTCCAAGTTAAAGTGGCTACAGTACTTTTGTGGTCCATATTCTGTGACCATGAAAAACACAGCTTCATTGTTAGTCAGCATCCAAGATCTTGTGACAGTTTCATCTTCTTTAATCCTAGTACCCGTGTCACTATGACTGTGCGACAAGCTACCATTTTACTGACCTTCTGCTCTCAGTAAAAAAATGAGCCTCCAGTTTCAGGGGGTGGCATGGCAGTGTATTTCCACAACAATAACAAAGGTACACAGGAAGGGAAAAGGAAGGCAGAGATCTGCCTGTTCAAAACAAATAGTTTGATATTCAATTGTACATATTCCATAATCAATCCCAAACAAGCCACCATAATCTCTTCGCCTTGGGATTGCTCTCATAACAGAAGAATTTTGCCTTCCTTTGAAAAGACTTCAGTTACATTAGCAATCTGGGTCTCTCTCACTGATGGACTTCATCAAACTAGTAAGAGCATGATATTCTGAGATTTTTAGTGCTTTAACAGTTTTTTTTAATGAAGCAATTAATGACAAATGAAAGGAAAAATGAATTGTATAACTGCATTAAACCATGTATGTTCACAAAATCAGTATATTTGAAGACAAATTAGTTATTAATATTGACGTGTTGCTTTACAAATGTGAAAATGTATAAAAGTTCAGGTTGATGTCACCCATTTAGCAGAACAATTCAAAATAACAAAACTTTCTAAGTTACAATTTCTTTTACTTCATCAACATGACTAACTTATCCAGAGCTACTGAAGATGAAACTACAAATCAAATCTTCCAGTTAATAGACTCCTCTGGTTCTGCCCTGAAGTAGGAGAAGAGACAGAATGATTTATCTTTTGCAAAATCTCTGTCCAAACTTCTATTCTTTCCTATCTCCATTTCAGTGACAGCTAAGATAATCTTCATCAAGATGATCTTTCATAAGAAAGCAGGGCATTCTCTGGCAAGATATCCCCTAGGAAGTGCTTTTTCCATTAGATTTCAGGTGTTTTGTTAAGAACCAGAGCAGAAGCTGAAACTGGGCTCTGACTAAATTAGCACAACATGTAGTTATGTGCACATAAGGAAAATAAATTGTTCTGAGTTTTTGTAAAAACTTCTTGAATCATGTTTTTAATTCTTGCCAGCAGTGCTAAGAGAGACCATGGAAGCACTTTTGATATTGAGTTTAAAAGCAGAGGAGAAGTTCTTTAAACTTTTACTTTTGCCATATATTATTTCAATTCTGTGAATGAATTTGTACTACTAAATTAAATATTCCAAAGACAGTTATTTAGCATACAGACCAGTTGCCAATGGACAGGACATGTCTATACTACCAAGCTGTTACATCCAAAATTCTGTGCTAACATAAAAACTGTCTACCAAGATACTGATCCAAAAGCACTGACCTGAGACATTTCCAAAATACAGTGAAGAATTAATTTGGAATGCTAATGGGCTATAGCCAAAACTAAATTATGGACGTTTCTAATAGATTTAAGTGTACATGACTGAGTTCATGCGCCCAGTAACACCTTTGGGAAACATTTAATCTTCTCTTGTAGACATAAAATCAACTCTTACATACAAAATGTTGTTGCTTGTTTGTTTTTTTGATGTGCAGCAAATATCTAACTTACCATCAGAGTCTGACATAGCTGGCTCTGAAGTTTGAGTTACCACGGAGACATCTTCTGGCCTTTCTGCCATATTTTCTCCTTGCAATCTAAATTGTGGAAAAACAGAACAAAAACATAGGCAAACTCCATAGATAAGATACATAAAAGTACTAATTCTGACTACATACTCCATACAGAACACTGTCCTAACTAAAAGAGTAGCTTTGCTGAAAAGTCAGCATCCATGGTCCAACCATATCATTCACAGAATCACAGAATCACAGAATCACTAAGGTTGGAAACGACCTATAAGATCATCCAGTCCAACCATCCACCTGTCACCAATGGTTCTCATTAAACCATATCCCTCAACACAACATCCAAACGTTCCCTGAACACCTCCAGGGTCGGTGACTCCACCACCTCCCTGGGCAGCCCATTCCAGTGCCTGACCACCCTTTCAGAGAAGTAGTATTTCCTAATATCCAGCCTGAATCTTCCCTGGCGAAGCTTGAAACCATTCCCTCTAGTCCTATCACCAGTTACACGAGAGAAGAGGCCGACCCCCAGCTCGCTACAACCTCCCTTCAGGTAGTTATAGAGAGCAATAAGGTCTCCCCTGAGCCTCCTCTTCTCCAGACTGAACAATCCCAGCTCCCTCAGCCGCTCCTCATAAGGCCTGTGCTCCAGACCCCACACCAGCTTTGTTGCCCTTCTTTGAACACGCTCCAGGGCCTCAATGTCTTTCTTGCAGTGAGGGGCCCAGAACTGGACACAATACTCAAGGTGCGGCCTCACCAGAGCTGAGTACAGGGGAACAATTACTTCCCTACTCCTGCTGGTCACACTGCTTCTGATACAAGCCAGAATGCCATTGGCCTTCTTGGCCACCCGGGCACACTGCTGGCTCATGTTTAGCCGAGCGTCAACCAACACCCCCAGGTCCATTTCCTCTACACAGTCTTCAAGCCATTCCACCCCAAGCCTGTAGCGTTGCTTGGGGTTGCTGTGGCCAAAGTGTAGGACCCGGCATTTGGTCTTATTAAACCTCATCCCATTGGCTTCAGCCCAGCTCTCCAGCCTGTCCAGATCTCTCTGTAGGGCCTCGCTACCCCCAGGCAGATTGACACTTCCAGCCAACTTGGTGTCATCTGCAAACTTACTGAGGGTGCACTCAATGCCCTCATCCAGGTCATCAATAAAAATATTGAAAAGGACAGGCCCCAGCACCGACCCCTGGGGAACACCACTCGTGACCGGTCGCCAGCTGGATTTAGCTCCATTGACCACCACTCTCTGGGCTCGACCCCATTCCAGAGCATATAATAACCAGAACTAGCCTTTAGGAAACAGTCAAATGAATTCTACATGGTTTAAATAAACTAATGGGATTGTACTGAGTCAAGGTATTGGTGGCAGGACGGCTGCCAGGATTGGCCTCAGTAAGAAGAGGACATGGGATGCCCATACTGGACACAGGCGTTTCCATCTGGCTTCAGTGCACACAGCTATGCTCAAAAGTCAACATGGCAGCGCTTCTGGAAAAATACATTTAAGAAAGAGGAGAGATGTAAGGCAGGTAGAAGAAAAGAGCGGAAATAGCAGAGGGAAAACCATAGTTAGAGAAGGAGGTGATTCAGGCACTGGGGCAGATACTGTGCTACAGCTAGGGGAGAGGACCACAGCATCCACTGAAAACCATGAAGACCATGTGAGTACAGTGGAGCAGGTGAGTATTTCCTGAAAGAAACAAAGCCAATGGAGAACCACGATGGAGCAGCCCAGAGGAACTGTTATGGACTGACTGCTTGGGGGCATGGGTGGAGAAATCTGGAATGAAGAAGTGAAGTTGAACCTGGGAAAAGGGGAGGAGAAGTGCGATCTAAATGCATCTTTTTGTTTCTCATAAGCCAAATCTATTTTAATTGGCAATAAATAAAATTAATTTTCCATAAGTAAGTCAGTTTTGCATGTGGCAGTAACTGGCAAGCAATCTCCCTGCCTTCACCTTGACCCACAAGCTTTTTCATCATAATTTCTCCCTCTGTCGTGCTGAGGGCAGTGAATGAACAAGTGGCTGAGTAGGAGTTTGGCCCTTAGCCAAAGGCAACCCACCAGAAGAAATACACTCATCAATATTTTCTCCTTCCTTGTTACTTTTCAAAGGAAATATCCAGTATTTAAGGCAAGTATTGTCTTCAGGCTTTCCTCCTGCATCAGCTGACTGCAATGGCTTGATAGTAATTTACAAAAATAGGTCTCGTAACTGCTGGTTTTTAATGAGCCCCACTATCCTTCTTCAGGTTCCTATGGATCTTGAGCACAGATTTTGCTCTGAAGAGATGGTTTGTAGCAATACAATTGTCATTTGCATAAAGGTTATTTTAACTTGAATTTATTCAGACATGAAAAGAATAAGAAAACACAATTTTGCAGAGCCCAGGAATTCTAAGAATGCACTGAAATAAGACCTGAAGGAAATAAATATATCCTGAAAGAAGTCTCTTTTACTTCGTATTCTCACTCTCTGCAGCAGCTTTACATGAATCTTTCAATTAACCTTTGAAACCAAGCAGAACCTCCATATTAGCCCTACCCAATTTTCACATTTTATGACTTTCACACCTATTTAATCCATCTTCGAAAAAATTATTCTTCCCCAATAATTACTTTTATTTCCTTTTATGACAGAAAGCTTAATATAAATTCATAACAACTCTGACCTGAGGAGGCAGTTCCACAGAACTCAAAACTTCTTGTGGCAACAAAAGAGTAAAACTTAGAAGATACCTAATTTTGAAAATTACTTCTACGAATCCTTTATAGCTCTATAGCCAGTCTGTATGCTCGTTACAAGTCCTTTGAAAATTTAGCTTGCATCACAAGTTTTTCAAAAGATAACAGTAAAACAGAAGCAAACTTCTGTTCATGCTACTATCGTAAAGACATTCAAACAAGGAGAAAACAACTTCAAAGGTAATGGAAGAAAATCTCCAAACCAAACAATTTTCATTTGCTTTACATTTGCCCTGTCCTCCTGTATTACATACACATACATGCATACTACAAGCATGTATTCAAGCTTATAAAGATGTACATGAAATCACAGAACCAGAAGTGATGAGGCATTCTCCTGTGCATTATTAAAAGAAAAATTACTCCAGCCTTCCCTGTTTATATTGCACTCATGCAAAAATACCTCTAATAGTAGGTAGGAGATTCTCATACCCCATCAGAATTTTCCAGATTTTGTAACCCATTTCCACCATGTGATTTCATAAATCCAAACCCAATGAAATTAGGCATGAACAATCTACATGATTCTCATTTTATTCATGAAATTATGTTAAATATTTAAGTAAATACTATGCCTCGTGGAAAACAAAAATCTTTTCAATGGATCTAGTAAAAAAAGCTATTTCATTATTTGCCTTTGTAGAAGGAAACAGCTGGGTGAACTAATGAGATTGATGGGTGGGTGAGTGGATGAATTAAATGTTTCATGTATCTAGGCCTCAGTTTCCCATAAAATTTTCAACTTATTTATGTGTTTCTTACATCCTTACATGGAGATTCGTATTTGAATAAATCCTCATATTACTCAAGCATTAGAAGAAGTCAAACTTTTCCAAAACAGCTTTGAAATTCTTGCTCGTTATTTTCAATATGTACTCTTTAAAACCAGCATCAACAACAACAGCAAAAGCAGTCTCCTAAAGATTACTGATTTATTAATACTTTATGCACTATTTTATTTAATGGGAATCTCAGCTTAATACATAAGACTTTGCGAAACAACCTGCACAAAACTCAATTTTGACTAATATAAGATCCTGGATTTTTTTTTTTTTTAGCATCATCAGGACTTCCTGACAATTCTGCCTACCTGATAACACCTCAGAACACATTATCTGTAAATCTCTATGATTACAAAGGTAGAGAAGAACTGACTCTGATCCCATCCTGCTGCCAGTGCAAGCAGATCCACCCTAGAGAACTCCAGATACTAGTTCCTACATTTGTTCCTCCATTTGTTGCAAAACAAGTGAAAATTGAAATAAGGTAGATGAATGACCACAAATGCTTCTACCTGGATTTTTTTCAAGAGATTTCAAGGGATTGAGTGCACCCTCAGCAAGTTTGCAGATGACACCAAGTTGGCAGGAAGCGTCAACCTGCCTGGGGGATAGGATGGCCTTACAGAGGGACCTGGACAGGCTGGATTGCTGGGCTGAAGCCAATAGGATGAAGTTCAGTAAGACCAAGTGCCAGGTTCTGCACTTTCGCCACAATCCCAGGGAATGCTACAGGGTTGGGGCAGAGTGGCTGGAAGACTGCGTGGAAGAAATGGACCTGGAAGTGTCAGTCAATGCTTGGCTGAACATGAGCCAGCAATGCGCACAGGTGGCCAAGAAGGCCAATGGCATCCTGGGCTGTATATGAAACAGTGTTGCCACCAGGAGCAGGGAATTGATCATCCCACTGTACTCAGCACTGGTAAGGCTGCACTTCGAGTACTTTTGGGCCCCTCTCTACAAGACAGACATCAAGGCCCTGGAGCATGTTCAGAGAAGGGCAACAAAGCTGATGAGGGGTCTGGAGCACAAGTCTTATGAGGAGTGGCTGAGGGAACTGCAATTGTTTAGTCTGGAGAAGAGGAGGCTCAGGGGAGACCCTATCACTCTACAACTACCTGAAAGGAGACTGTGGAGAGCTGGGGGTCAGCCTCTTCTCCCTTGTAACCAGCAATAGGATGACAGTTCTCAAGTCATGCCAGGGGAGGTTCAGGTTGGATGTTAGGAAAAAATTTCTTCTCTAAAAGGGTGGTCAGGTGCAGGAATAGGGAAGTGATTGAGTCACCAACCTTGGAGGGGTTCAAGAAACATTTATACACTGCACTCATGGTTTAGTGGAGAAATATTGGTGGTAGGTGGATGGCTGGACTAGATGATCTTGGAGGTCTTTTCCAACCTTGGTGATTCTAAGATTCTACGATTCTAAGAGGACAGAATGTTCCTAGAAAATTATACAGGGATTAAATAAGAAGCACGTTAAGTGTTTGTAACACAAATTTAGTGACAAAGACAATATCCATACAGGTGGGCTA